ATTCGAATCATTTTACCGCTCGTGGCGCCATCCGAAACAGCGTTCTTCGTTTTTAAGAAGAGTCGCGAGGAGCGCTCCAAGAGTTTCCAGTTCAACGATTTCAATATGGCGTGCGAGAAGCGTCGTTCGTGTTGCTGCTTACTTTTTGCGTTCCAGTTTGGGAGATCATCGAAATGGTTTGCGCGCTATTCGGAAAGAACGCTGTGTCTCACGGAACGTGCGAAAAATCGTAGCAAAGATTCGATGCCGGAGATTTTAATTTGGAAGACGACGATCGTTCAGGCGTATCGAGAAAGTTCGACGACGATGAATCGGAGGAATCGCTCGACGAAAATTCGACCCGCGACGCGAGAAGAATCGATGGAAAGATCGAGAATCAAGCGGTATCTATCCGGTTTGTGCTCGATTCGCGTAATTAAATCTTGAATTCGAAAAAAAAAAGAGAGTGAAGAATTTATTTGTGCAGCTAATAATTATTCCTGGTCAATCGGTATCTATCAAGGTCGGTATCGAGCTCGGTTGCGTGATAAATAATGATCGAATCTTCCGAGGGGATCGTCGATGAATTTATATGAACGTGAAACCAGGACGAGGCGTGCTTGTGTACAGAGCCATCTGGACGATCTTCCATTTTTAATGAAGTTTCGAGCCGCGGGGAATATACTCGCTGCCATTGAAACCGATTTTCCTCAAACTTTGCGCGATTAATCGCGTTTTCACTGAGAAATTTCTTACCTTTTTTTGTTTTTTCGTTTTAAGAGAAGAGTTTTGATAAGAAAATTATTCTCCATCGTCTCGTACAATGTAACGTTACGCGTGTATGAATACAGGAGACAATAACAACGAAATTGAATGTGTTTCTACGATAAATTGCGTTACTCGATTGTGATTGACGGTACGGATAAAATTATCCGTGGAAGAACACGGATGATAACAGGCGGACGAGCTGGAAAGTTTTTAAAGGTACAAATATATATGCAGATATAATAAACGCGTCTTCGATACGTGGATGAATATTCATGAGATTCGTGCAGCGAACGTACGCACATCGGTGGCTCGAACGATAGTATCCAACTGGATAAAATTTTTTCTCCGATTTTGAGCTTACACAATAGTAGATTTAAAAGTATTGCTTTTTATTGTATTATGATATGTAATTTATTATTTCGTTAAAAGTGTAACTAAATATATAAAAGAATTAACATTGCATTTAATTGATATCAGTTATTTATATCAGTTATGATATAAACTCAATAAAATCAATAAGCAGTTCTTTTAAATATAATAACTATAATGTTAAAAAATATGCTTACGATTAAAAGTTTATTCGTTTTATTCGCGCAGTCATTGGTTTTCTGATCATCTTAACTAACCACAACGGATATTGGAAAAAAAAGTTAACTTAGAAAGCGCTTCGAATTTGCAACAAACATATGACAAATTGAATCTTGAGAAAAATAAGATTTAAAATTTTAACATGTGGTTAATTACATCGAAATAATTATTTTTTTTACAAATTTGAAAATGAATTTTCTTCAATTATTATTCGAACGACCGTTACGAATCGAAGTTGGACAGCAAGAGAGCAGCATTCACGGCTAACTGTCGGTGCCAAAATTTGTTCGAACAAGCGGAGTTCCGTCCGTATAATACCAAGTCATTTAGAGTGTGCAACGTCATTTTCGCTGTTTTGCTTTCGTCTCCACGAATGATTAATCGCGTGTCACCTTTATTTCGAAAGCAGAGAGGATTAATTTCGTTTCTCTTCCTCGAACGAGATCTCAAAGATGTCAGTCGGTCAGGCGTGTGCGAGTCGGATGTTAACACATCTGAAAATGTCGGTTCGATTCGAAGGTTTACGTATAAAACATTTTTTCCGGCGCGAGCTTTCCCCGGAAAAAATTCACGAATTTTTCTTTTTTCTTTTTTTTTTTTTTTTTGTCGAACGGAGGACGTATAAATATTTTTCGAAAAACTTTTTTACGTCGACCTATTACATCGATTTTTATTTACTACACGCGACGATTGACGCGCGTACACGATAGTTCGGTTTGTTTCATATTTTTCACGATCGATAAGTTGCGATAAGGTAATTGGGTTACGATTTGAAGTGCACGAGATACAATTTTGGATAATTTACGATCAACTTATTTTTCAACGCGAGTAAACGGTCAAAAATCTTGTGAAATAACGGCCGGCACGGAAACGTGGAATATCAAAATTATATTTTCCATGCGAATAATGCGTCATTCTTCTATCGTGAAAATTTAAATAATCACGCGACATCGAGTTTGATGCACGTTGATGAACGTGTATTTTCCAAAATTCTGTGTTCTCGTGTTACCACCGATGAACACGGTTTCGGTAGATATTTAAGTATATAAAGTAAACGAGCGCGTGATCGTTTCTGGTTCGCTCGTTTTCACTCGTGTAAACGAAATTATACACGTTCGTACGAATATTAAATATTGAAAATGAAATATTTTGAATATCGATAAATAACTTGACGATAAAATAGATGGAAATATTGAAAGAAAAAAAATTGTAACTCTCTCTCGTTTTTTCCCAGATTTCCATCGACTATCCTTAAACTTTTATCCGTCGTTATTTCTTTCCTTCTTTTTTGTTTTACAGGTTCATCAAAGAGGATATCGGAGGAAAGACTTTATCGAATCGAACGAGTTTTTGCTATGTTTATTACTTTTTTTTAATTCTTCTTCCTTCAAATGCGATGGATTCTGTATTACAAGCGTTACAAACAGCGCGAAAAACATTTTTCGAAAACACGCTTCGAAATCTCGCGACAAAAGTCGATGCGCAACGTGTGCCCGTCACACAAACGATGCGCTGTCCTTTGATGAAGGAAATACTTGACACATTTTAACTCGGATTACGCGAACGTTCATTAATTTAATTTCAGTCCATTTAAAAATTTCGATTTAATCTCGAACGAGTCTGTCTTTCGACCAGGAATCTGCGATGGCGGATAAATAGGGTTTGGTATTGTTCAATTTGGTCTCGTTAGTCGGCCGGAATTTCGATCGATAAAATTCGGCCACGGTTTAAACGTACTGCGAGAGCTCGCCGCTGCGAAACGAATTGTTATGCACTCCCGATCATTTTCTGGTATGGTAAGTATTAACCTTTGGACGAACCGGTTATAAATATCAACGTTTCGTTTCCAACAACGTGGCGCGCGCGTACACTTACATGCGATAGCCTTCCACTGTCCTATTAAATTGCCTATTGTATTGGATTTTATAGTGTCGAGTGAAACGAGAGAAAAAAAAAGGGATCGTGGAAATGAGAGGAAAATATGTGTATGACGAATGTAAAAAAAAAAAAAGTATCCATGTCGTTGAATGAATCGTTAACTTGGGTTTAAATTCGACGTGATTTCTGAATGCGAACCAAGATTTTTGGAAAAGCGGAATTTTTATTTAAATCCCTTTCGATTCCTTGAAAATTATATTATATTATTTTCCTTTGCGATTTTCTCGACTCTATCCTTGTGAAAATTTTCTTTTATTCGAGTGCAAATGGTTAATAAAAAAGAACTCGTGTGAAGATTGAAACGAAAGATTTTCCCTTCGAGATTAAACATTCCCGTAGCGGAAGCTTTTCTTTTTTTTTTTTCCTATTTTGTTACCTTTTCCCTCTTCCGTTGAAATATTAAAAAAACAGTTATAAGGACGCTTGAAAGCAGGGAAAAACCTTGTACGATTTTTCTTTTAGAATTTTCTTTTATTTTTTATTTTTTTTTTTTCTTCTTTTGTCTCTGTTTCTTTTCCATTTTCATTGTAAAATTGCCCGTCTTTTTGCGCTCATAACTGTGAGTGCCGTTTCATTTTTATGCAAGTTGATTTGAAATCTAAAAGGTACGTAAAGCTTTGTGTCGCTATTGAATATCAAGAAACGAAAAGAATTTTTTATATTTTGTGATATTTATTAATAAATATTATAATGTTTCACATTTTACATTTCGCAGTACGTTGAATTTCGCGGTCTCGTGTATAATTTCCGCTCGCGCTATGCATATGGCGTCGTCACGTGACACGATCACGTGATATTGCGTAAAGAGAGTTCGTAGCGCGAAGCAATTTGTTCGATTCGCTGGCGTTCGGAAGAAGTTTTGTGAAATTTCTATATTTTTGTCGCGAGTAGAGACTTCGAGAATATTCGTATTTCTGAATGTTTAACGAGTGGTAGTGTGACTGCGAGCAAAATGTGTTCGCTCGTCTATTCGAATCACGATTTTATTGGCCGTTAATTGGAATGAGATCGTGGTAAACGGTGAGATCGGAATCAAATTGAGTGTTTTAGGGACAATGGAGTGTCTAGAGTGGAAAATAGGATATGTGTGCGTGAAAATTGGTAATTTTCTGATTGAATATTTTATCGTTCGTTAATGGATCTATGATCGATAGTAGTGCAAGGTTAACTTGTGAAATTTCGTATAAAAAGGATAAGCAATAGGTTAGTAGACAAGAAAATAAGCAATAAAGTGAATCATTCACGAATTTAGATTTAGAATTTCTAGATTTAGATTCCAATTTACGTATTTATATGTAGAGGTTATGTATTATATATCGATAATTAATCTATTCGAAATCGATATATTTCGTATATAATTCTAATATCTCTCTAATGCAATTAACGATGTATGAGATCTTTTTGGAAAGAAACTTTGATTTTTGAATAAATTATCCATGTATATTTGATCCTTCAAATGTATATTAATCGAAACAAAATATGCTAGGAATAAATGGAATATAATTAAAAAGATTAATTCGTTGAAAAAAGTTTGATCGTTTGATTGATAATAAATATTGTATAATAGCTACTTAACCTCATTTTTTTACGATTCGTGGACGGGGAGAATAGTTTTTTCTCATCATTTGTCATTGTGACTTTAATGTCAACAAAAAAATTAAATATTCATCACGAAAAGTTCGCTGGAATGATAAGGCTAATCAGTTTGTTTCTGTGCACGATTACAGATTTCTGAATATAAAAATCAGCTTGCATGGACCTTGACTACCCGGCCTTAATGCGAGGACTGCAGGCAATCAGTGCACCGAGAAAGGGTGAGTTATTATTTATCGATCATTCGATTCCCTTTCTCTTTCTTTTCTTTCTCCGTTATTAATATAATATTGGAAGGGAAATTGAACTTGGCGAATGATTAAAAAGCAATAGAAGAAAATAAAACGCGCGAACCGAAGTAATAATTTCTCAAAGAAGGAAGATCGATAAATGAAAGGAACGCGTATCAAGTATTACGTTATTAAAGGCAAATTTTAATCTTTATTACAATATTATACGTTTCATTTATTTAAGCTATTTAAACGTTGTAACGTTGTAAAAAACGAAATTAACTATTTAATTTGTTTCTCTTTTTACTTACGTTAAATAAAGGAAAAAATTAGAAATAAGAAAAGAGAGATTTTTATTCTTTGGTTAGTTTACGTTTTTAAAAAGAAATCACGTTCACGAGACATGAGGTTTTCCAACGAAACTCGTCTGGTAGAAGTACGTACTAAGCCGAAACAATCGATTCAAATCCCCTAGTGACGCGGCAATCTTCTTCTTCTTCTTCTTCTTCGTGATACTTTCGTAGACTAACGCTTTCGTTTCACAGGGTAATTGTATGAAATCGCAGAAGAAATTACGGGAATCGTACATTCAATGCGCGGTCTAATGAATATTGCATTAGCTCCGATGATATACTGTTCAGTGATATCTTCTCTCTTTTTCAATTATTTTCCCAAATATGACAAATCGCGCAATATTCTAACGTACAATTTAAATTAAGGATAATTCAAGTATGATATAGCGAAAATTTTCTTTATTCAATAAAAGGAAAGAAAACTAATCGATATTTTAAATTCAAATTTTTAAGAAGAAGTGGAAAAAAGAGTTATTTACGTGCGTGCAAAAGGGTAAAGAAACATAATATATTCAATGCGAATCTTTAAAATTATAATCAAAATTTTACTGCAAACTGCAAAGATTAAATTGTACGGCTAATTACGTTTCATTCGTGTAAGCTGATTATTATTTCAAAATACAGGGAAACGAAAAAAAGTAAAAAAAAATAAAGCGCGATGTGAATAAACGTAATAAATTTGCGTTATATAACTTTTCGATTTTTGAAACTTTATATTATCACGGATGATACTTGCTTAATTTGGTCCAATATTGTTTAATACTTTATATTTCAAATATTCATATTATTAATAATTTAAGGAGTTTTTTTTCTTGGAAGAGATTGGAAAAAATAAATTAATCAAGTTAAAATTTTATATTTTTAATACAAAAACTAAATATTTTTATTCATTTATAAGTCATAGTAATTTAAATATTATTCGTAAGGAAATTATTTAATTGCAAAAGAAAAACAGATTCGTTTCAACAATTACATCTTTTCAACATTTTTAAAATTTTTTCTGTTGTTAAACAGAGATGAAAAACGAATGATTTTACAGAATTTTTATTGCTTTTAAAGTATCTGTCACCTTTTCCTTTTCAACGGTAGAACTTCATTAAGCTCGGCTCGCGTCTTAGATCCTCTTGAAAAATGAAAGCAATTTAAAAATGTCAACACGATCGTGACATTTTCAGAAGCAGAAGACCCTTTTAAATTTTTTTCTTCTTAAGATTAAAAATCAAGCATTTATTATTCTAAGAACTTTTTTCTTTTTTTTTTTTTTTTTTTTTTTTTTTTTTTTTTTTTTATTTTCAACGAAAAGTTCCAGTTACAAAAATGTTGTATGCAAGACAAATGTCGAAGAGATGTAATTATTTAAGTAACTTCATAATTACAGTCTCATAATCTACCATTCGCAAAGTAAAATATTTCATCTTTGCAGTTAATCAAAATTAGAAATAATAAAATTTTTGCTTCATTTATATTTTTACTTCAACTTAGGAATCCAAAAAAATTCGATTAAAAAATACATTTTACTTTTCGTATTATATTACGTGAACAAATTTTTCTCTTATTAATTATTCCTTTACGTAAAATTATTTAATTTTTAGTTGCTTCAAATTTATTTCTTCCTGATCGATTATTCAATGAAATGAAAATTTTCTCCATTAATAATCGATATTCCATTATAATTAAATTTCACAATATTAAGAACTACGTTATGCTTGTTGATTAACACGATACAAGAATTCGCGATTCTTCTACTTTTCATTTAATTTCTTTTCATCCAGACAAACGATTCAAATTTCTATTATTTGTCAAAGTATTGTCAAATAATTTTACAAAATATATTAAAAACTATGCTTATTCGTTAACTCATTGCAGTTGAAGATTCTTAAACATTTTTTGAACAAATTTTTTTCATTGTGAGATAGAATCGTCGATTGAATTCGAATTATTTCTCAAGGAATATCAATTTTCGTATTAAATATTAAAAATTTATTAACTCATCGCAGTCCAAGATTCTTAGACATTGCACATTTTTTGGACAAATTTTTTTCGAGTTGGATTATTTTTCAAAGAATGGCAAATTTCGCACAATATAAAAAAATACATTCTTATTCATTAAATCATCCAAGATTCATAGACGTTAAATTTTTTTCAACGAGGATTAAACTCGATTATTTCTCTATGAACTGGCAAATTTCACGCACTGTCGAAAACTCCGCTTATCGCGTCGCGATCCAAGACTCCTTGGATTATCTCTCGATTCGGGGGAATTTTTTTGGGCCGTGATAAAATGGTCGATCGGCGACCAATGGAGTACGAGTTGGATTATTCATGGAGGAACAAGCGATCGAAATTGGGTCATTATTTCCGACGACGGCCAGTGGCCGATGTTTGGCAATGCTCGCCGCGGTGGAATTCTCGCCGATGGAAACGTGACATTTAGATGGTGGCTCGCATCCAGGCCAATCACGCCTCGCCCAAGAATTAGCCGGTTTCAACAGCAACAGACCAGTGTCGCCTCCTCTCCTTTCTTCTTCTTCTTCTTCGCGTCTCTTCCTTTCCTCCGCGTGAATTCCCGAAAGACGAGAGAGAAACGAGTATAGTAACCAAACTTTTTCGCGAGACACACTCTCGTTGGCATCGAGCTTCCTTCCAAAATTGGAACGACTCTACCGCCGATAATGACCCCCCTGCTCCCTCTTCTTGCTTTCGTTTTTCTCTCCCCTTGCAACTTTGTGCTCGAGTCGCTTGTTTTCCGTCTTGCTTCGTCCCTTTTAAGTTTAACGAGAGAGAAGGATAAAGTTGACTCTCGAAGATGAAGTTTTAAGTTAGCGAGATCGGGAGTCGAGATAAAATTTAATTTTATGCTCGAGTTATCTCCTTCTCAGGTTACTGGTTCGATAAATTTCCAGAATAAAACATTTCGATCTACTTCGAACTCTTCCTTCTTCCTCTTAAGTAAAGAATAAAAACACGTGCGTGTAAAAATTCGTCCATCTCTAAAATTCTCCAAGATCCACTCTTCAGAGACGCGATTACTTCGCGCGATCGATAGAAATATTTCTGAACAACATCTTCTTTCACGTAAAGATTATTTCCCTGTGTGAATCGTGTGAAATTTCCTAAAAAGAACGATACACCTCATCGTACGAAATTGGAAATTTTCGCATCGAGTCGAAGGAAAGAAACGTTGAAACGAGAAGAAGCACGCTTCGACGGAGGATCGGATCACGTATCAGCGCGCATGCGCGTAATTTTCTTTTGCACGAAACAAGACCGTGGACGGGTCTGGCGAGCGATAAATTTTCGAAAATGGACGCGAGATGGCGGGGATTGGCAATCGCGTGGAGACCGAGTATTCGTTCATCGGGAGACGATAGGAAACGAAACGCTTGGTAATGCACGCGCGTAGGACACGTCACGGTTCATAGTTTGCATGTTAAAGGCATCTTGGCGAGGGCTCGAAGACAACAATCGCGTTCTCGTTTCGTTCTCACTCGTTCTCTGTCGGGCGACAAGTTTTTCCATTGTTTCCACGCGTTTCCTCCATGACACGTCTGTTCTTTCTGGATCAACGCTTGGATTACGCTTGGAACGAAAAATGAATAAAAAAAAAAAGATAAATAGATAGATAGATATAAAAATTCGAAGAATTATTCTTGGCGTTTCGAGAACAATTTTATTTTAAGGATAATCCTCTTAAAATCTCGAGTATTCAAACGGACGAATATTTGGAGGAAATTCGAAGACGAGGATATTTGTTATCAGGCCATTTCCAATTTAGAGGGTATCCTCGAAACGCAAACATGGATACACACGCATATACTCTTCTCATAAATAAATCTCTTTCCCGATTGTGGTACCCACTCTCGCTTTGCCCTCCGCTCTACCGTATTATTTTACGTACGTTAGTTTCCTCCTTCAATTAAAGATTTCGCTACTTGTGCCACTTTTTTCATTCCTCGTGCGGAACAACCTTGACACTCGTGTCGCCTCTTCCACCTCGCTTTTGCCTTTATCTTTTTCTTTCTTTTTTTTTTTTTCTTTTGGTAATAAATTTCTTCTCGGTCTCGGAATAGCTTTCGATACGAGCTTTGGATTGGGAAGAGGAAGTAAAAGCGAAGGAAGAGGGGTCTCGAAGGAACGATTGGAAAGAATTAAAGAAAGTTTTATAATCAAATAACGTCGAGTTGAGGGGGAAACGATCGTTATCGAATTTTTATGGCATGGATTTTACGAGGGCAGGGAGTGTCCTCGGAGGCTCGACGATTTTTAGATGATTTCGAAAAGATCGATTTATTCGTCTTTCTTTGTGTCGATGTGCATTTTAATATATATTTTTTTTTTATCTTATCTTATTATTTTTTTCGAGTCGCGAATTTTTCCAAGTTGAGCCACGAAAAAGAAGAGCAGGTATCCTCGGAAATTATTAATCGAGCATTGCTCGTTGTACTTCTAAGGACTAATGACAACAATAATAATAACAATAATAATAATAATAATAATACTTTTCCTCGATTCATTTTGAATAAAGCGGATTTTTCGTCGGGAAAGATGAACGAAGGGGATAGAACTCAGTTCAAAATATTAATTAAAAAAAAAAAAAAAAAAGGAAGCGTGATAAAAGGAGCGACGAGGAGGCGACGG